AAGTCCAGCGTTGCGATCCTACTCATTGCCCTGCTCCCTCCTCGCAGGATCCTGAACTCCACCATCTCATGGTCACTGCAGCCAAGGCTGCCCCCAACCTTCACATCTCCAACTAGACCTTCTTTGTTCGTTAGTACAAGGTCTAGCATTGCACCTCTCCTCGTTGGCGTCTCCACCACCTGGGTCAAGAAATTATCATCAATGCTTTGCAGGAACCTCTTTGACTGTTTGTGCCTAGCTGTGCTGTCTTGCCAACAGATGTCAGGGTGGTTGAAGTCTCCCATGAGAACCAGGGCCTGTGATCGTGAGGCTACTTCCAGCTGTCGGTAGAAGGCCTCATCGATGACTTCCTCCTGGTCAGGTGGCCTGTAGTAGACCCCCACAACAGTGTCACCCATGTTACCCTGCCCTTTAATCCTTACCCATAGGCTCTCCACTTGCTCTTCATCCACCCTGAGGCAGAGCTCCATACATTCTAGCTGCTCCCTCACATAAAGAGCAACTCCACCACCTCGCCTTCCTGGCCTGTCTTTCCTAAAAAGCACGTAGCCATCCATGACAGCATCCCAGTCATGTGAACTATCCCACCGTGTCTCTGTCACTGCAATGAGATCACGGCCCTGCGACTACACACAGATCTCTAACTCTTCCTGTTTATTCCCCATGCTGCGTGCATTGGTATACAGGCATTTCAGAGAGCCAGTATTTCTTATTTACTTTTTGCTAGTTAAACCAAACTTTCTTTAATCTTCACAGACAAATTTTTAATAGCTTTCCATGTTAGACAATAGACTCTTCTTACTAAGTGAGACAAAATTTGTTTCATTTTCATTCCTCCAACACTGATGCTTTTCCACTTTTGTTCCTTCCCTTCATCTCCAATCCCGCTCTCATAAATGCTGGATTTCATTTTTGTGTTAGGACATTTCATGCAAGTAAGGGCTAACTTTTGCAAGATTTTGAGTCCCCTGAAAACACACTGAGACAGAAAACATTGAGGTCACTGAGCTAGTCTTCCAGAGCTGATTCCTTACTTTTAATAAAGTACAATATCCTATTTTTTTATAACTTAACCTGATTTTTAAGCCATAGTAGAGGAGGAAATATGAAAGACAAAATTATCATCTTAAACAGAATCAATATTAAAAAAAGGATTATGCTCCACTGCAAATATTTATCTTTACTACAACATTTTGCATACCTGGAATTAGAACTATCATACTAGTAGCTACTTACAGTATAATAGATTTGAGTACTGTACAGTATTGACCTTTAGCACCTTAAATCATCTAAACATTAAACTAGCTTTACTTTAAATCACTTTTTAGACCAAATTACAGTAAGTTAATAATGCTAAATCAGGACATTTATGATAGGCAGTATCTAAACAGTACACAAAGAAATTAATACCATATATATATATATATGTATATATTCACCATAGTGAACAAATGAAAATTAAAACAAGAGTGTAAATTTTGCTCTCAGCCCCTTTGATCCTATGCTAGTATTTGGTTGCTGAATGTTTCATTATTAGGTCTATGGTTTGGAGCTTTTTGCTTTGTTCTGTTTTTATGCCATGAATATTCCAAATAAATCCACAACTATATACAAAAAAAGTTTTATTTATAATGTAGTTAGTTCACCCTTTTATGTTTATTTGTAATACACACTTTGTTCCAACTAATACTTCAGGAAGACCTGTTTTCAAATATAAATGCTGTCTTGCCTGCTCTCTCACTGCTTGGCTCTTTACACATAACAAGCTGAGTGTCCCACTTGCTGAAAAAAAAAAAAGACTGAATTAAAGCAGAGTGGGAACAAAAGAAAATGGAAGTCGGGAAAAAGGAAAGTGAGAAAGTAGAACATATTTTACTAGTGACATACCTCCTTAATGAGACTCATAAAGCGGGTCCCAAAGCGCCATGGTTTGTGCCGATTACACTGTAGCGAACTGACAGTCATCTGTGGGAACTGCTGGACAGCCACTGACACGACATGAACTGCATCATACATTAGAGCTGCATCCGTCTGAAATTAGAATGAAATCAGTGCCATGAACAAAAATGAAAGCACATGACAGACCAGCAGTGAGAGGAGGGAAAAAAAAATGTACCACTGCTCATTACATTCTAGGGAGAAAATGATATGACTGCTTGCGTAGCACTGTCAAATACAGCCTTATTCCCAAACCCTGCAACAAAGATATCAGGACATTCAGTCTCAGCTTTTTTCTTTTTAATCTTGAAATAAGGGCCCAATTACCAACTTTTCAGGATCACAGCAGTACACCGGTATCTCTGAAGACTTGTTTGTTATTTTTTAAAAGCAGTATGTTAGGGAGCTATATAAATCACTATATGTGTGTTTGAGTCAAATCGGTTATTCCCATGAGTAAGGAGGAAAAAAAAGTAGATTAGCAAGGTAGCAAGACCTTGTCTAGGAAGGAAAATACACAGGATAAGAAAAGACTAATGTTTTCCTGTTTTAGAATTACAGACTAGATACAATCCCAAAGGTGCTTAACTGATTCATTAATCACTGTTTAGGGTATCAGTTTAAATCCCTAGGACTGACCTAATCAATATCTTCCACAAATTGGAGGCAAATTAGAGTTGGATTGCAATGCACACTCATTTTAATCATTTCCATGTCCCACTCTAAATAAATAAGCTGTTTAGACCCGGTACATGCTTACTAACATTATATTAGCACAGGACTGAGACTAGCTCTCAGTACATGCTGTCACACTGTACGAAAAACATGATGCATCTTTCCTATTCTGTTTGATAAACAGAGGCAAGCCTGGAACCAAAAGTAAGAGAGGACCTTAGACTCATCTGGTGGAAATGAACTCTATGCCATTTGCTCAGCATACCTTGCAGAAAAAGGACCTATTTCCCCTTCTCATTCACATAATTAGTGAGCTGTGAAATTACTTCTTTAATGGATAGGAAACCTGGAGATTACTGCACTTGTCACAACACAATACAACACAATACAAAATGAGCTTATATAGTGCCTTTCATGCAAATGCATCCCAAGACACCTTACAATAAAACTAAACATAAAAATGCAGAAGTGTGCTACCACTATAGGCCATAAGCTATTGTTAAAGGGGAAAATATACTCTTACATGTAAATGGATCTCCCAAGGAGAGATTTCAAAATTTAAATAGAAATGAATCCTAATTTTCTAATAGCCAGTACAATAGGTTTTGATGATCTCACACATCAAGCAGCTTATCCAGAGACTCAGCCAGCAAATCTTTTGCTGCCAAATTATTCATTATCTTTAAGGCATTAAAGTGCTTTTAAGGCAAACTGATATCTGACAAGGAGGCAATGAAACTCTCTGAAGCTGGAATGACATGCTGAGTAAGCATCATAGAACACTTAATATTCTAGTCACTGTACTTAGCAGAAGTTGGAGTCCAGACTGCAATTTTTAAAGAAACTATAAAGTAAGTACAACACATTAATTTGGCTCAGAAATGCAAATAGTGTGTTTTTTTTTTTTATTTATCAGCTTTATTTCTAAAACTGTAGCCTCTGCAACAATGAAAGCAAATTGGAATTGCTGGAAGACTTTAGCACAAGCAGACCATAAAGAAGCAATCAGAAATTCAAAATCAGCATTAACTGATTAA